AATGCCCACTTGAGGTAGGCAAAGCTTCCACTTAACATAACTTTTTCAAAATTTCTACATAAACCTGTTGTACACATAAAGTTTAGTATATAGTGACATTTTGCTCCCAAAACTCATCCTTTCCCCCTTCTTAGGATCCGCAAAAGCAACGACGCCGGCCCTTTCGAGTAAAAAAGGGCGCTCCATTTGCACAAGATGCGCAGCTGGCGGATCGACCGCAAAATCGTAAAAACCATCGGTGGCAAAGGCAATGTCTTTTCACCGATATCCACTTGCAACCGTTATGCTGGGCTTGCTTATGAACATCGTGTTTAGCATTCTATTATGAAATCATCCGTTTTTCTTTGTTGTAGATTGCGCGATATGTATTCTCCGGATGAAGTAGTAGCAAAAACAACAGTTATCGTCGGCGGAATCTGCCTGAAAAAGGATAAAAATTATAACTGTACTGAAAAAGATGTAGGGAAAACGATGAGCGTCAAAAAGTAAGTATTTTGATTTGTATTCATGTATTTTCAATTGTATTCATTACGATTTGACTATTATTTCAGAGCGTATTATAGTCTCTTCTTTGAAAAAAGCTGCGCTGGTAGCGAAGATATAGCAATTCTCGAACTCACGGAAGACATACCAAAGAATATTAATCATATTTGTCTTCCACAATTCCATAAGACTGACGAGCTTTTTGATCTACAGTCTACTAAGTTGTTTTCTTATGGTTGGGGAGTTGACCGTAAGTTATCTATCAGTGCATAGAATCAGTTTTATCTTAGCGTTTCTAGCAACGAAGAAAGGATTTAGAGACGCTCCGACGCCGTATCTCCAAAAAATCGATCTGGGTGAGGAATGATAAGAGCAAATTCAACTTTGATTTGAATGAATTTAGGTGTAAGAATGCCCGAGGCTAATTGTAAAAGATTCTACCCTCATAAAAAAACGGATACGTTCTGTACTTACGAGTATGCCGACAAAAATGTTTGTAATGTAAGTATGCAAGCAACCATTCCAAATCTTAATGTGTGATGAGACGCAGCCATACAAACGGCTCGTATTCATTGTCGGCCAATTTTGCCTTGTATGCTCCTCATACTATTAGGTCGTTCCGAAAGTTTTTTCCGTTTCTTTAACTTATCATAAAAACGCGTGGAATAAAGATGAAGAAACGATTTAGACACCATTTGACGCAGTTTTTCTTCCTCTTTTCAACAGTTAGATTTTGCGGGCAGGTGATTTTGTGCTTACTAAGA